CGANAGAGAGAGAGAGAGAGAGAGAGAGAGAGAGAGAGAGAGGGAGAAAAAAAAAAGAAAGTTGATTGAATTCGTTTTGATTTCAGGAAGAAAGACAATATTCTAAATAAATCCACTTCTGCTTTCGATAATAAATGTTAATTTTTCAATATAGTTTTCAGAAATTTCATTGCAAAACGAATGTTTGTTAATTTTTTAAAACGAAAAAGAAAAATTTTTTTTAAAAAATATATCTTTTAATATAAACACTAAGATGCTAACATCATTCATACTAAATGATTGAATTATTTTAATGAGTATTTGGAAAATAATTTAAAATGAGTATTTTTTAATGAGTATTTACAGTATTTGCAAAATCAATTTAATCTTTCTAAAAGTATTCAAATTTTTAGCAATTCCTATCAAATCATCATCATTAGCTGAATTAATTACAAAACAAAAGGTATGAATTGAATGTTATGATGTAGAATCAATTTACAGATAAATTTGCTCGATCAATAAGATTTTGATCTAATCTAAGATAAATATCATCTAGACAGAAATGGATTAGAATAAAAAAAATGTAACCTTGATTGTTTGATATATCATTTGTAAGTAGTAGTGAAAATAACTGATAAGGAAATCAATCTATTTGTTTGAGGTTAGAAAATTTGCAATATCACCTGATATTATGTCAGCCAATATATCTAGTAATTAATCATCTCTTCCTTTTCAACATTTTATAATATTATTGCATTAATTAACATATTCTAATCGTTCCAATGATACTTCCAGAATAAGAATGATCAAGACCTCAACAATATATCGAGAAAAAAAACGACGAATCGATAGTTCAGAATGTTTTACCACTTGAAGAAGATACCACCACACCACTTGAATGGATGTTATCATCAAAAGAAAAAGTCGATCTACAATTTTATGATTGTCAAAATCCGAAGTTTTCCATCTGGAACTTTGTTAAAATTCAATTTTTCACCCAAAATAACAAAATACAATGAATTTTGAAAATTTTATGCCAAATTTCCCAGATACCATTGGGGGTTGGGTACATCTAATGTACTATTATCCAACATAACCGGATATTTTTCATAATCCATAAATCCTTGTTTGAATTTAAATATAGTTGAATTCTTTGTGCTTTTTGCAGGAAAAACGGAAGACAGTCAAAACGGATGAGTCCAAAGAGCAGAAAAGAGCTGAAGAAGATAATACAGCAAAGAACGAGAAAATTAAACCAAAAACTGCGGTAGAGAATAGCTTGATTACGTCAAGTACTGCAACAGTAGATTCAACTGCCACAGGGAAGATACAACTTGGTTAGTAGTATATATAGCAATAAGAGTATAACTTAACTGACCTACTGATAAGGATTGATATTTTCGATGATATGCAAACTTTATGCTGCAATACTTTCATTTAATGGAATATAATCTAAAAAAGCAAGCAATATTTACCTTTGCAACACAAAATATGTCATCATTCCGTGCTTTCCCTTTTTTTTTTCAAAACATTTTCCTTAAAAGTTTCATGTTTGCAGAGCTGGGAAAGACCTGTGAGATTGCACCAATAACAACAACATTAAAACTAAAGGATACTTCTAAATGTGATAAAAAGATTACTGACGACAAGAAAGAAACCAACAACAGTGGTAAAATGAAAGTCGGGAAAAAAGTGACAAGAAAATAAAAGTCAAAGCTAATAAAAAATAAGCAATTTGTCCATATAACTCACATAATTGTACTTTAGAAATTCATTTAGCATGTTTCCTCTCTTCTGGCTATCCTTGTTATGCAGTTTAAGTCAATGTAGTTAGCATAATCAAAACTCTCTGGTACACTGAACCGTATATATTTATCGTAGGTGAGATAATAGAATAAGGCTCAGAAAACCTTAAATTATATCAAAACTCATCAAATAGACTGATAATAAACACAAAGATGATGGGAACATTGGTCGAAAACAATGATTTATACTTTTTTTAGGAGAAGCTAACAGTATGTAATAAATATAGAGGAAAATGATTTCAAAAAAAAAAAAACAGCCCCATAACATAGTCATAATGCATCAACATACATTTATATATACTTTTTTCTTTTACCGTTGCATGCATTGCAAAATAAAAATAAAATTTTGTTTATGGCATTGATTCCATGTAAATAGTGGCTAATACCGCAAGTTTGACACTTATATCGTAGTAGTGATGCCATAATCACTGGGAAGCACCAACAATCTCGGGCTGTCACAACATTCACAAATGATTTTGGTTTTTTCATCAAATTCACGAGAATAAATTGCTGCAGCCGATGTGTCAGCAATTTCATTTCATACCTTTCATTTTAGGAAATCAACTTGGAAATTTATCTTATATAATATGAAGCCACAAAAGTGAGAGAAGCAAAGAAGTCAAAAAAATATATGAAAAATTACCCACCGACCTTAACCAAAAAAATATATCCACAATTTTGATATGACATATAATCATGGAATCAGAAATGAGCAAAAAAGTAAAAGGGAGAGAAAGTGGGAGGAAAATATACTGTTAAATATACAGATGAAAAATGGAACACAACATGACTGGAAAACAAGGAAAGTTAACTACAATGAATTAAAACAATGCGGATGTTACTAAAACGATGAGTTTAATCCGGAATTGCATAACTCAATAGGTTATACCATTCAAAATGTACAACAGAGCTATAATGTAACGATAAATATATACTGAGTCCTTATGATAGTAAAATTTTAAAATTATGAATGGTAAATTCCATGCAAAAAAGGAAACGAAACAAACACGAGATGTAACTGAAAGTTCATGGTAAATTTCCTGTCGTTAAAATTATAAACACCTGTAAAATTGAACCTACATGGTGCAAACCTGACCTGCACCATACGCACATCTCTGAGCACTGGGACTACATATTTTTTTTACAAACTACTAATTGGTCACTAAAGGAAGGAGTTGAGAAACAAAGTTGCTTCTAGCAAATTAAAATGACTTCATGATTTTTGGCATTGAAAAATGATATAACAAAGATATATGCTGAGGGTAAAACCATATTCACAAATTTATAACTTCATCATTCTGAAATTCCAAATTTTCAATTTGCTATGGATTACACTCATTAACTAAAAGCAATTAAAGTTTGACAATTAAACAAGGACGGTGAAGAATCAAGAGAAGAGAGCTCATTCAAATAAAAAGACATATACGTAAAATGTACACGCCAAACAGGAAACAATAAAAAAGAGTTACCTGTAATGAACAACTAAGCGGACAAATATATGACAAATCAGTAAACCGGAGGAGATGCACTGTTATACTTAGATCGTCACAAATGTGAGGTGACTCATAAGCATTCTCTCACTGTTGTTAAAATTATATCAACCAACCATCGAAGAAGTCAGAGGAGCAGTCATCGATTCAGTCTGTAATCAGAATTTAAAAAAAAAATAATTTTCGTAGGAGAAATTTTTTGGGATGCCCTCTTTTTAAATAAATTAAACCTAAAATGATAAATCAACAAATGAAAGGATCAGAATTGGAGATTGAAAAACTATAAATAATTAAAGGACTGACCGAATTAAAAACATAAAGAAAATTAAACACAGATTCAGAGCATTGTGATGGGTGACATCTAGAGTTAACTTTCCTCATAACAACATAGAATTCTAAACGGTTAGGACTCATCCAACCTCATGCAGCTTACTGTTTTTGAACAGCTTAAAATTTCATCTTAAACCGTTTACCACAATGAAACTGCACAAACTCAAAAAGTTAATCATTCTGAGGGATTACTATGTATTTTTTAACGTCCTAATAGTGAGTAGCTATATGATGCATATTATAATGGTCATACCGGTATGCTTAGCGAAGTACTTGATGTAGTTGGCGGGGGAGCACTAACGGGATTATATTTCCACTGTTGCTCCTGATCAATGACAAGTTTTACGCCACGCTGAATGCCATTTGAATTAGAAGGAGCTGAAAATTCAAATTCATAAAACTGCAATTCTACTGCACTGTTACACATCTATAAAAAATAATTATTTACAAACAAGGATTATAAAAGTAATAAAACCCTACTAATAAATCACTGTAATTGGAAATCTCGCGATATCCGAAGTAGATACTCATAGTAACAAGCAAGGGATCAAGGGATCTCTATACCCCAAAAAAAAGAAAAAGGCCGTTCAACCGCAACTCGAAAGTACAAACTCGGACAGAAAAGAAAATATTTCTACAAAATGCATGACAAGTCACATTTTATCTAGGAAAATATACTATTCACTGATTATTCCTATATTTTACTGTCTATTCATCCTTGTATTAACAACAGCAGTTGAATTTGTTTTAAAAAATGTGAAGGTATTGTACCATCAGCGAATGGATCCATATCAGCGTCAACTTCTTCTACGGTACGTCTGTATACCGGATTGTCCACATGAAGCACTGTGAAGTTTGTCGGCCGCTTATGATACCACAAATAACCCTTTAAAACAAATCATCTATTTTAGAAATTTTATAGAAAATATAATATACGACATTTTACTTACAGTAGATAATTAAATTCCATTCGAATAAACATGCTAACAGAAATTTCAAGAGAGAGAATATTCCACCTTCATCTTCTAGAAGACTTACATAAGGTCAAAGATACTATCCAGCCGACCATCGCAGTCAAATAAATACTTAAACTTTGACATTTATCACTATCAATATTATCGGTTCTCACTTACCGCGATTGCTGCGGAAGCAACGAGTAGTAGTAGAAACACTGAGGAGAATGAAAAAGGTGATGATCCATTTGAGTTATTACCTAAAATAAAACTTTGAAATATACAAGAATTACAGAAACAAAACAGAAAAAAACATATAACTTTAAAGTATCTTCAAAAAAATACAAAAAGAAAACCACAACATATTATTACCTTCACCAGCATCTGATTCCAAAACACAATAATTCTCATTTTCCAAGCTTACAATGAAACCATTCATACAAGCACATGTATATGGGCGCCCCTTCAGAAGAAAATGAGCATCTTTATTGACGGCTGAAAAAATCAATCTTCGATTAATAATAAATCTAAAAAAATATCACAAATTTTCAGAATCATAGCTGTCAAAAATTGGAGAAAGCATTTTCGAGTTCAGCCCAAAACTTCATCCGATTCACACCAAGCGCTTCGACATTTCTAACAATGGCTACGTCCCAAACTAGTCATTATGAAAAACAAAAACATGCTATAAATAATGCGAAATAAAGCTTAGTCAACTCTGCTGATATCTGGTAAAAAATAAAACGTAACGACCAAAACCTGATAAAGAGATCGTAGCCTAACAATAAAGGAATTTAAAAAATAAATTAATTTAACGAAATCCGAGAAATTCGAAAACGTACGGAGATGAGCCTTAGGAAGACACATGTGCTCGCATTCGTGATCGGCGCATTTATTAGGATGATCAGGTTGGGCCAATTCATGATACACCCTAACCGTCATAGGGCCGGAAACGCCATTCATTACCTGAAGTATACAATCAGCAGCCATCATTCTAAAGCAAGAAAACATCGGAGCATGGATTTCCTACATTCCATTTTAAATTTAAGACATCAATCTGCACACTGCTTGAAAATCGGATGATGCCAATGAAGACGAATATTGCTTACTGTCTTAAAATCGCTCCCTGTGAATTTATTAGCAGTAAGTACTCCTTCCTGATCCCAATCGGTCCAGTAGAGACGTTCTTCAAAAACGGTTAACGAAAACGGGTGCTTCACACGTTCATGTGAACGAAGCACAAGTCTTATATGTTGTCCCCAGTAGTCGCAAGACATAATTAATTTCACTTTTGCATCTGCCCAATAAAGCCTTTGTTCTAAGATGTCCAAAGCCAAACCATTCGGCCATTTAATCATTTCACCAGAAATTATCACCTGGAAAACTCCCTCATTTACTTTCTTCCCCAACATATAAAATTTTGCGCCCTCTTAAGCATTCAGAATAACGTAAAATAACTAAAAGCAACAAAAGTTACATCCTATATTTTCTTTTCCTAGAAAAAAGGACGAACATTTAAAGATAAATAACATTGAAAATTATAACTGAAGAAGTTCCACACTTAAATTATTACAATTTGTATATTGTCTTAACAGCAGACTAAACACATAACGTGAACAGATACGATTTCTATGAATTACACTCCTCATAAATATGAGCATTTAGAGATAAATAATATTGAAAATTATAACTGAAGTTCAACACTTAAATTACCGTTCTATTGTTGCCATCCATACCAGCACGTTCAATATGTGCACTCAAACCCCAATCGGTCCAGAAAATTAGTCCCCTTAATGGATCTACAGCGATTGCACGTGGTTCGTCTAGATTCTCAGAAAACAATGTTCGTCTTTTACGCGTTACCAGATCCAGAACATTTATCTGTAAATATTGAAATTAAAGAATTGATAGTTTGCTCAAGTATTCAAACTACAACTATTAAATGATTCTGTCTTAATTAATCATAAAGAAATGATAATAAATTCCTCTTACCTGGTCAAGACCCGTATCAGTCCAAAACAACAACTGATGAACCCAATCAACTGCTAAACCATCAGGCGTTGAGACATCCTTATCAATAAGTGTAATATTATGCTCGCCTTCAGCACAGCCACGAACATCTTGCAGTGTTTTCAATCCCTTACCCATGTGGCAAATCATTATCTTCTCTTGTGAAACATCCGACCAAATTAGAGTATCGTTCCTTAAAAACACTTTGAATCAAATTCTAAAGTCCGAGAAAATAAAATTTAAAAAAAGTCATTGATCCTTCTAACCTTACAAAAATTCACTAATTATTGACTGCAAAGTTTTATAACATCAAACAGTACAAGCAGTACAAAAACAATTTGAAGATACTTCAAGTAAGCTTCAAATGAAATCCTAGAAAATTGAATAAAATGAAACGGATATTGAAGGTTCGGATACAATAGTAGGAGAAATATTTGGCTGTTAAAATTCATTTTTACGTATTTACATGCAGTTAATTAGAATTCTTGTCAATCGTTACTTTGCTAAAACATGACTGTATTAGATATGTACCGTAATTCAGCTATCAGGGTGCAAGCAACTAACTTAGTTCATTGAAGATCCAATCTAGAGAAAAAATACTGATGTGTTTTTTCAGAACGGACCATATATCTAATCTACATCCATATATCTAACTACATTTTTAATAAATAGAGTAAAAAAAAAGTCTTGCAAGCAATTTCTAAATTCCTGTGTTCCAATTAGGCAATTTAATAAGACGAATGAATTAAAATATGTATCCACCTTCACTGACATTTCCATATAACCTTTGCGTGTTTCTTACTGCATTTCCAAACGCAATACCTCAACGAAACAAAGTGTACTCATTTCCCTGAAGAACAAAGAAACTTTGCTAACCTGTGCAAAAAGTCCATCGCTACTGCAGAATCAAGCTTTGCAACGAGTGGCTCATACTTATTCGTAACCAAGTCGAATCTCCGTATAGTAGCTCTATTGGACAGCAGCAACAATGGATCACTGCCTTTCGCCCGACATATACCCGCACTTTTGTTCGTATTGCCAATTGATCTGTAAATATGATAATGTGAAGATGTTTTTTTTTCCCATTTAGGTATCGTTTTCTGGAATTAATGGTAGCATAATTATTATTCCCCTTTTTTTTCCTCACTCATCATGACAATCGGGATAAAATATGGCATCAAATTGAAAGCTAAAAAAATGCATGAAATTATACACATCAAATCGATTATCATGGTAGATAATACAAGGTAAATGGAAAATAACCTGCCCATCGTAAGATGATAGCCAGGATAACATTCACAGACGTATCCACCTGGCACATTGATACATTTCTGGGCACATATTCCAATCTGAGCGCATTCATCGATATCTTTAATTTGAGATTTCATTTAATACAGACGTATCGTTCGTATAGTCAAGCAACATAATACTTTCAGAAACAACTCGAAAGCTTATCTATAGGCAGGTCAATGTACAAACTAGGAATACAAATATTTTATAATAATACAGAATTTTTTTTTAATTTAAAATACCATAACGAAATTTACGCAATTCACCAAATAATAAAAGTTAATCGAAGATTTCATACATTCCAGATGACTTGATGGATAAGAAAACCAACCTATACAACTTCTTCCTTTTAACTCGAAGCCACGAGGACAATGGCAAATAGTACCATTAAACTTTGTTGTTCGACATTTACAATGATTGTTTGATATATCATCACAAAGTGCTGGAAAAAAAGGAAAAAAAACTCAACAACAAGCCAAAACGATGCTATTAGAAAATCTTTTGCTTATAAGTTGTGCAATACAACAGAAATGTCTAACTGATGTCCAACACTTCTATTTAGAGAGTGTTATTTTACTTTACAACTATACATTTTTTTTTAAAATGATAGGCGTCTTACTTCAGCTGTCGTTTACCTTATCGGTGTTCTGAGCTGATCTACACATGGTTTGCACGAAAATAAGTGAACGTTGCTGAAGTATCCCACAAAATTTTTTTAAATTTCAAAACAGCCGAAAAGATCCTGCTAGTCCATTCTATGTATAGTCCCCTCCTCCCCCTCACCTCGAATATGATTCTAAAATGTTTACCCGGAACATTTGACGATGAGTTCAATAGTGAGGTTAGGAATTCAGCGACTAAAATTATCAAAAGTCTATACATAAGAGAAAGTAGGATTAAATAGCTATAATGTTGAAGAGCATGTAATATTTCATCTAGAGAAGGGTGGATGAAAGGACTGCTTCTTTTGTTTAATTTCCTTTGATTACTTATCGGAAGAAGGAGAACAAAATCCAGACTACTCACGCCACTGATGTGCAATAGAGAGCCCTTAGCAATGATACAGTTTCCTCTTATTAGCACTGTCTTTTTCTACTTAAATAGTTGCCTTTATTAGGATGTCTTATTAATTCCTAAGCTCTAAATCAATATTCGAATAAATTCCGAAAGTTTGTTCCAGAAGCTAGTAAGCAGCGCGAGCAGTTATTAAAGAATGGTTAGATTTTGATCAGCTTCCGTACATTATGCATAATCTTTTGAGTTAGTAACGTGATAGAAAAAACTATTTTCTCACATAGATTGAAATGCGATGAGCAAACAGATTTCAAACAGTCATTATTCGGTTTTCCATCAACACATAAATCTTCTAGTTTGATACACTGCAAAGGAGTTCCTGGACAACGGTATTCCGTATTTTCATCGCAGTTCTCTTCTGAAGAAAAAATTAAAGGATAAATGTGGTAATTCGAATAGGTAAGATCAAACCAAGGCTAACCGGTCATCAAACAGGAAACGTGAGTCGGCAACGCAATCTTTGGAAAGGAAACCATTAATTAACATATTTCTAAACAGCAAGAAAATCGACAGTTGACTAAACTCACTTTTTGCTTCAGAAAGGAGCAAATCAAAACATAACTTGCTCAGTAAAAAGATACCGTAAAGAGAGAAAGAAAAACAAAAAAAAAGGTTCCTAATTGAGTTAGAACGTAAACCGCTGCAAATCTAAACGCCAAATGCGATTTTGTATCTCATAAACTACATTATTGTCCAGCGGCTTTTCACTATACAATTAAGAAAGACAACGTACGTTTAACAGGTAGTGTACAATCTTTTTCATCAGTTCCGTCGAGACAATCATCGAAACCATCACACCATTTGCTCGCCGAAATACATTTTCCCATATCGCAAGTCCTCTCATTAGCCGCACAAGCAGGCTTGTCACCTGAAGAATAATCCGAAGACACATATAAAGATATAATAAGATACAATAATCCGAAGATAGTTTAAATCATAGCTAACTTATTGTGTGCTTCATTCTTAACTGTATATATGAGAGAAATTTTCCTTATGGTACACGAACTAAAATGTTAAACGAGATTTAATACTTCAAATAATACTACTTTAAAAAGTAGGTGATACAGCTAATAACCGAAAATGTGTGCAAAATTGAAAACTTAATGCTTAGAATTTTTAAAACGAAATATTACAATTTTCTTCATCTGAACCATCTGCACAATCCATTTCTCCATCACACTTCCACGCCTTATTGATGCAGTGACCTCCATTTCGACAAGGAAATTCCTGAATACTTAATATATTTTTCGAACAGCTTGTTTCTCATGCAGGAAAAATTTAATGAAAGTTCAGTCAATAGCATAATAATAACATATAAAAGGTACAATATATGAAAAATCTAATCCATTTCGCAATTTTCGCTCAGAATTCCTGTCAGTTCATTAATAGTATCCTCCTACCACATACGGCACTTGAAATTGCAAATATATATATATATATATATATATATATATATATGTATATATATATATATATATATATATATATATATATATATATATATATATATATTATATATATATATATATATATATATATATATATATATATATATATATA